GATGATTCATGTAAGCATGTCCATTTGGGCTTTGGCTTACTGCAAGAGTGAGTTTTTCATGCACGTCCGTTTTACTGGCTTATTTGTGTGCAGCTGGTTGTTCCTTGCCTCTTGGGCAGATATTTTCTGTCTTTGAAGAAAGCCCCAATTAGTAGACTAATACAACATGCTTGTTGGGGAGCCATTTGTCTGTTCTTGTGTCCACCCCCCCCCCCCCCACATACACAATGGGGCCGCAGAACCTGCACAGGAAAAGTCAAAGATGGGAACCAAACCCAAGATCTTTGTCCATGAGGCAAGCAACTACCTACTCGACCAAAGTAGCATATAGTGCAGTATCTGAGATAGTGGGCATTGGGGATAATTTTTATTCTAGTATTATGAGAGATATTCAGTGCAAGACATTCCAGAAGTAAAGGTTATTTTATTTATTTCACCCCATCTTAGAGATTCATAGTCCAATAGTATAGGGTTGATAGTGTGAAATGAACTCCCAACTTACACTAAACATCAACCCCCCCCCCCCTTCCCCAAATTTTTTTTGGTAGTTTAAATATAAACCAAAATCCGGATGCTGGAGAAGAGATGCAGTACACGATTTATATTGGGTTAAACACACAGTTAAGAATAGGCTACATTGCTCATTTTTCATAAAATTTGTAATGTCTGTGTGTGAATATCTTTCCAGAGTTGTCATTGAACATGCTCGTGGTTCAGGCAGACCACCAGCCTCAAGGTCCAGAGGTTCGTCGGCTTGGCTGGACAAGTAGGTTATTTATATATATTTCATTAAATATCAGTCAGTCAGTTGCTGTCTCCGCATTTAGGGTTGGCTGCCGTAAAATATCCCAAGACATCTGTCTTGTCATCGTTGTAATCTGCTATTCCTGTCTCAGCATGCTACCTACATAGCTAGCTATCTCACATTATCTATCTCAAAAAGCTACCTATAGAGCTAGCTATTTTACATTATCTGTCTCAGCATGCTCACTACATAGTTATCTCAGCATGCTATCTATATAGCTATCTATCTTATCATGCTACCTACATAGCTATCTCAGCATGCTACCGACATAGCCAGCTATCTCAATTAACTTCAATTTTCACAAATAAAGAGAAAACCTTGGATTAAATTTACAAATAATGCGTGTTGTAGCACTTTCACCATTTGATACTGGATACTTGTAGCACTTTCACAGTTGATACTGGATACTTGTAGCACTTTCACAGTTGATGCTGGATACTTGTAGCACTTTCACAGTTGATGCTGGATACTTGTAGCACTTACCAGCATTGGGTACTAGGTGGGTGATGTGGCTAGTTTTTTTTTGCAGGCTACCTTTACTGAATTATTTAAATTATGTGTGGAGTGTGGATATTTTCTAGTGTAATAAAAAGTTATAATGTAGCAACACATATTACCAAATCAGGCGTTACACCTAAAACTATTGTAGATTTAGCTAGTAATCAGACGGATTAACACCATATGCATTTACCCAGAATAAGATCATTCAGCGTCATCTATCTGATGCTGGACCATTAAATTTTCCTGTCCAAGATTATGTCCAGCAAAAGGGAATGATAGTGATGATTATGATGTCATGAATGTTGCACCTTATTGCTTAAAATACTAAAAAAGAAATATAATTAAATTCCTTGACATTTTGTAGTACAAATTTTAAATTGGAATCATTTTGAGAACAGACAAAGTCCGCAGTCAGATAGTACGTCAGGAACTTGGTACCCAGTCCATACAAACCCAAGATCAGTTACGATGGTTTGGACATGAATGCAGAAGGGAGAAAATCAGCCACCATGGCAGGCATTATAGGCTAAGAACCAGGGAACCAGACCTCCAGGGCGAAAGAAAACTGCAGATAGAGAAGTCTGGCAAACTTCTACACTACAAGGTAGAAGAGGAGCAACTAAGTAAATATCATTTTGAGAGCCTACTCAATTTTTAATTAACCTTAATAACAGTGGATCAACACAACTGTTGACCAGTATCGGCACCTCCACCCCCGATGGGTTCTGTGCCCCATTTTGGGGAAGTAGGACATATATAGCAGCCAAGATGTAAACTGCAACACAATTTGTCATTTTAATGGTCAGAGCCAAAGATGTCTCTGACAGGCTGTCATGGCAGCCAGTAGCAAATGTGACTCCATATTCTGTGGAATAAATAAATCATGTTTTGTTTGTATATATAGTCGCTTAGATCTGCTAGCCAGGTGTGTGTGTATATATATATATATATATATATATATATATACTGAAATGGAGCTTTTCTTTATTTCCTTAGGTATGGTCCTCCAACGAGAACAGACCACAGACTTATTGTTGAAAATCTGTCCTCACGAGTCAGTTGGCAGGTAGGTTTTCTTGTATGTTGGAGATGGTAGCAGTGATTTTTGTTTGAATTGTATGATTAAACATAATGATACAACTGTTGCTTAGGCTAAGTCTGTTTGTTACTAAGTACAGGCATACAGTACATTCATCATCAATAATTTCCACTTCTGCCGTTAAGCATGGTGGGAAGGAAGAATTTGCAATCCATTACTTAATGGGCAGCAATGGCTGTTGCCATTCTGTGTTGATGTAGAAGCTCTTTGTCATCAGTCCTATCTGCTTTTGCAGCGACTTTTTGCATTCACTGCAGATTTTTCACATGTAGCGTCTGTTTTGATAGTTGTTCTGACTGTATTCTTACTAGATGACCTAACCATTTAATCTCTTTCTTAATGAATTTGCTGCAGAGTGTTGTTTCTACAGTTTGTCTGATAATATTTTAAGTTGGCAGCTTTTATCTATTATCATATCCTCTAAATAAATAGTTCCTGGATATTTTTAAAAAAAAACTTGCTTAAGATAAGTACTATTCTGCCCTGTATGTAGCGGATTATGAATTAATGAATACATTATATCATAATATACCTGTAAAAATGTAACTTGTTTTTTAAGAAATGTGTTATATTCTTTATTAAAAAACTATTATTCTCATTCCTCATAAGCACCCACCTTACCAGATGAGATGAGAAGAAAACAAGGGCACTCAGATGTCCCGGGCATAAAGTTACTCTCCCTAAAAGATGTGTCTGGCTGAGGGGATGACTCTGAAGCCTTCACAATAGATGGCTGTCTGCTTGTGGTAGTGATTCCTTATTTCATCCACTAGCTGGCTGTTTTCTGCCGAACTAGCAACATCCCTGCTGGGGTTTGAGTGCTGGGCATCATTGCTTCACGCCAGGGTCCAGCGAAGTGTTTCCTTTTTTGTTTTGTTGGGACAGCTACGAAGTTCCTTGAACCGCCGAGAAAATCCTGACCCGAGTCATATTGATGTCTTTGAGTAACCCGTGATGCGCTCCTGCCAGTGGCACAGAACTACAGACGATGATGGGCAGTGACGAAAGATGATGATAAAACGTGTTTGAGAGTAGGGTCTGTTAATACTGATGCTCAGAAGTGTGGCCAGACGATGAGGGTACAGTCCGAAGACGACCTCTGGCTGGCATGTGACAGTAGGGCTTCTTTGACCCGACCGGCTTAAAATGATCTGAGGTAATCATGAAATCTCAGTGTCTTTAGTTTTTAATTTTATACCAGGCTGAGTTAAAAAGAGACATATATCAAAATTTTAAATAAATTAGTCATTTAACTTACATAATCTACACAGTGGGTTTCAGAATAGTTTCTGTTTATTGACTGATAATTTTATATTATTTTAAAATTATTATAAAGCTTACAGCTAGACAACACATTACATTGCTGGGTTTTATGGGAAATATGTACAAAAGATCCCCTTTCTCGCAGTTGGTGCATCTGACATGCATGGCTTGACCTTGTTTTTACAGTGCAGTTATCACTTGATGGGTTATCGGTCAACATTTTACTGTCCGCCGCAGTATGTTTTCTGGTACCCATTAAAGATTGGTATGATTTGGGAGCCGAGATTAATTATAAATCTTGATTGATAGGGATTTGATAACAGAACCTTTGGGCTAGCAGGCAGACATCTCTTCTTCTTTACATTCCTGCTTTAATCCTTTGGAGACTGAGCCTTTTTAGAGTTTCGGTGCCAAGAAGACGAAGCCTTTAGGAGGGGATATTTGAAAAAAATTAAGCCTATAACATATACACTATATATTCGTGTAGGAAATTGAACTAACAGAATATTTGTGAATCAAACCAAATTCTCAAAATTTATTTAAATTAATTATTCTGTTTTGCATAATTTATGCAAGCAATAAAAAAAATACAACTTGGTAACAAACATAACTAACCTGAAATATTTGGGTGAATTTTTTATGGATAAAGCTTGAATAAGTCATATCACCTGTATTTTGGAAAGTGAGACCCTTCAGACACGTCTAGCACAGTTCTGCTCATTTTCCTGCCTCTAGCCATGTTTCAGTTGCTATGATGCAACAGTCCTTTTTACCATTTTAAGGGCACAGGTAACCCCCAAAAAAATCGTCAATGAACAGCCCACATGTGCAAGAAATGCAAGAAGCAGTCTGATTGGCTGGTGCAGAACCTGCCAGCCAATTTCAAGGCTTTAAATTACACAGGGCCGACCGATTTGCCTAGCTGTGCGTCGGCGTCTCCAGAATTTTAAACTTAGGCGGAAAGTTGTGGTTGTTCATTTACTTCTGGGCTGTAGTCCAATTCCAGAAACTGAGTGTTGCGTGTACATTTGTTTTACAGGTCTCACTCATTTGCATGCAGCAGACTGTTGGTTCCTCGCCTCTCAGGCGAATGTACAGTGAATCTTTTTGTTTCCCCCACACTGAGGTCTCAGAACTCGCACGGGGAAGGCAGACATTAATTGACTGCGTCCATGTTTGAACTGCAGGGTAAAGATGAGAGAATTTTGAGGTCTTTGAAATGTTTTTGTAATATATTTCTTTTTGCAGTCACATGCACAAAACATTTTTGTTCATGTATTATTCAATTTAAATGACAATTTGTTTTCTCATCGCAAGGATCTCAAAGATTACATGCGTCAGGCCGGAGAAGTTACTTATGCTGATGCTCACAAGAAACATAAGAATGAAGGGTTAGTATTGGTTTGTCTTAGATTCGGTTAAGTTGACATGACCAACTTAGCCACGGCAATTTTCTCTATTGCGTGTGCTGTCTGGATAAGTAGAAATCCTGATAAATGGAAGCATTTTCTTAGGTCCCTGCGACTTCTACTTATCCAGACTCTACTGTATGTGAAAAATTATTTGTGGGCACTGAGGTATTGGGCTCTGGTTGCGTTTGATAGTTGAATATGACTGAATGTACAAAAACATACATACTCTTAACCAGCGTTTCATGCACCTGATCTTCTCACATAAGGGTGTATAATAAGTTCCGTGTAATTTAGGAACTGCAGGCCACGAGTCCTAAATTGAAATCGGATATTCGCAATGGCTCTACTAGAAAGAGAAGGGAATTTCCAAAGAGCCTGCGTAAACAGTTCTTTATTCTTTCCTATGTGGGTTTCTTATTCCTAAATGTGTAATAAAAGTCAATGATGTTATATTAGGACAAGTACAGAAATTAAGGTATCTGGGTACATGGATAACATCAGATGGAAGATGCATAACTGAAATAAGAAACAGAATTGGACAGGCAAAAACTGCATTTTATAAAATGAAAAACATCTTGTGCAATATATCCTTGTCATTGAGAGTTAGAAAAAGAATTCTTGCTTGCTACATACATCCAGTTTTAACATATGGATGTGAATCCTGGACAATCGGTAGGCAGGCCAAACAATTTTTAGAGGCCTCAAGAGATTTGGTTTTACAGAAGAATGCTTAGAATACCTTGGACAGCCAAAAAGAGCAACCAAGAGGTTTTGAAAGAGGCGGGAGCCCAAAGACAACTTATCACATCAGAAGGAGACAGACAGTCATCGTTTTTCGGCCATGTTAGGAGAAGAGGGAAAATAGAACATGTTGTGACCACTGGAAAGATCTGTGGAAAAAGGGATAGAGGAAGACAACGAGAGAAGATGCTTGACAGTCTTGTTGTATGGCATGGGGGTGTGTCGGCACCCGAACTGATACATGCTGCAGGAGATTGTGGAGAGGCATGATCGCCCACGCCAGTCGGCAAGGCACCTGATGATGATGATGATGTGGGTTTCAGGGCCTCAGTGTGGGAAAAAAACGAGAATAGACCCACTGCCTCCCCAACAAGCATGTCAAAGGAATCGACCTAACAGGGGGCTTTTATTCAAGTCAAGAGTGCGCAAGTCCAAATGGATGAACACCAGGACTTACACTGCAGCTTCCAGCTGGTTAACAGAGAAGTTCTTTTTTAATTCTACTTGTAGGATAGAATTTTTCTCCCTCTATGTGATGAGCTTATCCAACAAAACATATATTGATATAATTAATTAACCAACTTTTTTTGTTGTACATTTTAGGGTCATTGAGTTTGCAACAGCCTCTGATTTGAGGAATGCCATAGAGAAATTAGACGGAACTGAAATAAACGGCCGCAAAATCCGACTGATAGAGGATAAACCAAGAAGACACAGGTATTTATTAAATATAATTGTAGTGCGTATGCATTCATGGCGGGCATAATGATGTACCATCTTTCGGGGCTGAAAACCTTTGATGCCAACATTCACTGAATGCCATGTTTATATTCAGTTTAATAATGTGTTTGTTTTGTACTGGTTCTCACTGTACACCCTTTCATGAGATTTTCTGTTGGATGCTCAGCAGTAAAACCAAACCTTGCTGCCTTAACAAACTTAGTGTTTGAGCATGCATGAGCGAGTGACAGTATAGTGTTTAAGCATGCATGAGCGAGTGACAGAGGAAAGTATTTGTATATTTCAATCGGGCAGTTGCATGATGATGTACCATCTTTCGGGGCTGATATTTAATGATGCCAACTCTCACTGAATGCAGTTATTGTCTTTGTAAACCCTGGGGGTTAATGAAAGAAAGAGATTGATGTTTGGAGTGTGTATCTCAAGAAAAATTACATATTTCTAAGATTTACTGTATCCATCATGGAATCACGGCTGCAGGTTGCGATTTCAATAGAACTGAGCTAAAAGGTTTACTATTTATCGTCACTGGGTCGAATTGTTGTTTTTTTTGGGGTTTTTAGTAAGCAGTTTTACTGTCAGTAATTGACCATTGCCCACTCAACGGTCAATGCAAACCACCTCAGCAGATATTGACAGTTCATGGTTTTTATAGACAATTTCTCACGCAGCAGTTGCCTCCTGAGTGCTCATACCATCATAACTGTCAATGCATTTGTAGTCCTATAAGATGTAGAGAAATGCATAATGATGTACCATCTTTCGGGGCTGATGTTCACTGATGCCAGCACTCACTGAATGCATTCCTAAATCCTGTGAGATAATGAAACAATGAGGTTTTTGTTTGAGGGTATGAGTCTTTAGTAGCGTATCATTTATACATCAGGACTATTCAACTCATGAGCCAACATTTTTGAAATTGGAGATATGCCAAAACTCACTAACTGCAGTTATTCTTTTTCTTATGTTGTTTTTACAGCCATGACAAATAATCTAATAATTGTTGTTCTAACACCAGTTGTTTGTAGGCTCGATTTTGAGCATCACACTTTTATGCTGCGCTGTGTATATTATTATTGTTATGATTTCCATGCTTATTCTACCACTGAATGGTGACTGCATTGGTCACTATCTAGACCAGTTTCCCAATGTTGGGCATTTTTTTTAGGGCGTAGAGGGGCAGTTTGAAAATGGACTCTGAGTTTAAGTTGCATGGGGGAAGGAACATAAAATTGTTAAAAAGGCTTAGGTGGGGCATGACATACAAAATGTTGGAAACTAGATCTAGACTTTGTTTATGGTTCTAAGGACTGGTTCTGTAGTATATAAAGGACTCCTTCAGTCATTCAAGAGCATTGCTATCAGGTGGAAATAAGTGGGTGCCACAATGATGTACCATCTTTCGGGGCTGATAAATGTGATGCCAACATCCACTGAGTGGTATTGTTTCATAATTTAATGCTTTTGGCACAAACTTTCTGTGTGGATAGAAATATGCTAAATATTTGTGTAATTACTGTTTTCTTTAGCCGCTCAAGAAGCCGATCCAGATCCAGAAGTCACAGACGCAGTCGATCTCGCAGCGCCAGTATTTCCAGAAGCCGAAGCCATAGCCGATCTCGTAGTGAAAGCAAGGACAAAAAATCAAAATCAAAAAGTCGCAGTCGATCAGCAAGTCCAGTCATAAAGTCAGAATCACATTCACGCTCCCATTCTCGATCCAGGTCAAGATCGGAGGACAGAGAAAATGGCAATCCAGATGGTCGCGATGATGAATAACTTAACTTCAAATGACTGTCAGGATTTTCAACAACTGTTTTGCCATTAGAATGATAGAACATGTATATAGACTATTACGTGTTTCCTGCCTCGTCAATTAAATATAGCTTTGTTTTATTTTGTTTTTGTTAGCCATACCTATTTCCCTCCTTGTCTGTCGCCTTGCACTAAACATTTTGATGTTGCAGATTCTTCATTCTCATTTGTACATATCATGCAAACTTTTATTCAGCTAAGAATAAAATATTGAAATTCATTCTTAGACTGTTTTTTTCTGAAACTACATGTACTGTCCATGGTGTCAGGCTTACTAGTCTGTAGCATAGTGATTTCAGTCATAGGTGTATGGACAAGTTGAGGTCATTGTGATGTGTATAGAACCTCTGCGACTTAACTTGAGATGGCATCAGGCTCTGCTAGTTTATGGATTCTCAAGCAAGACCCACTGCCCCTAATTTGTATGTTGTAGGTGGCAATGGATATCAGAAGTGGGGGCTGAAAGGTGCAGCATTGAAGGTACACAGGGTAGTGTTTACAATTCATGTCTGTATCAAGCCAAATATGGGGCTGCATCCCTGTGGGTTGGAGGCGGGTGGGATAAGTATGTTAGACAGTAAGGGATTTAATGGAAGTAGATGTGTTGGGTTGAAATGTGCGGGTATCAGTCTGGCTGTAAACCACAAAATAATGTGCCAATCACCATAGAAGAACTAGGCGTCTACCTACATTCGTGAAACGAATTACACGCAACATAAGATGATGCCTAGCGGTTATAAGATTTACATAGCACCAAGTGGGTATCTGAACATTCATCCACCAGAAAGATGAAGAAAAATATGAACAGAATGCTGCAATGGAAGATTGTGAAATCTGGCAAATTAATGGGATGTTAGGATCAGTTGTGGGACCATTCTCAACGTGATGTTAGTATCGCTGTCCATGTCTGCTTCTGTAAACAAACCTGTAGAATAGTAGACATTATTGCAGGATCAAATTTAGTGGGGATGCCTCTCAATTGATCGGTAGTAATACTGCGGAAATATGACACACCTTGACTGCCACGTTAATGTATGACAAGTTTGGAGACTGGCAGTGGTGAATTAATGTATGACAAGTTTGACGTTGTGAGGGCCCTCTGGGAGCGAGTGAACAGTGTGGAAGCGCAAATAGATCAGTACAGTCTGAAGAGAATGGCGCTGCAAGGAGTTACGAGGGAATCTGGTCGACGCTCAGCACACAAGGATATACACATCAGACAGTTACTGGTGCCATCGGAATTGGAAATTCATTTGCTGCTAAAGATGGGGATGGAGTCCTTATGGTGGTATCCCAAGTGCTATGATGTTGATTCTTAATTCAACATGCTGGACTTATCTTTACAGAACTGCAAGCATTCAGTGGGTGATATGGTCAACATCTTGCAGGACATTACCTGGTACCCATTTTAGTCTGGGTTACTCTGGGAGCCAAGGTCAATTTTTAAGAAGAAAAATACTGCTTCAATGCGGAATCAAATCAAATATCTTCAGGGCGACAGTCCAGAGTATCCTTTATTGCTCCTCTGTTACCTTGCAGTGTAGAGGTTTGCCAGATAGATCGCCAGACTTCTCTATCGCCAGTTTTCTTTCTGGCTTTGTTCCATTTCAGTCCTCTGTCAATTAGAGACTGTAGGACATTGTCTTTCCAGTGGACCCCTGGAGGTCTGGTTCCCTGTTAGCCTGCCATGGTGGCCGATTTTCTCCCATTCTGTATACATTTCCAAATCATAGTAACTCTAACCTACTCGAGTGTGTTAGGCCTGGGAGAGTATTTCCACTGCCATTTTATTTACAAGGCATGAACCCAAAAGACCTTTTTCCTTCAAATTTTAATAAAAATATTTGCATCTTAATGTTCAATAAACAAAGACTCAGGCTCATATAAACACCGAAGGTTGAGATAGTTAAAGCCATCTTATAGATTGCACACAAACCATAGAACTATTTATTCAGCTAGAGTCAATACAAACTTGTTCTTAGTGTATTAAAAAAAAAATAAGAGACGACAAAGTTTTTGAAACTGACTCAAAAGAAAGTAAATTTTATGTATCACAAAACAGTATGATGGAATGAAAAGCTATATATGATGTTATACTTTTAAATACAAGCCCTATTTTCCAAAGCCACACAAGCATTTTATATGTATATATCTGTGTTGATTTACACAATCATTTAAAATACCATCAACAGCAAAAACTTTATAATAACTACTAAACTATTTGTTCCTGCCAACTATCAAGTTCCATAATTTTGTTTACAATAAATATTCTTAGCCTGCACTGTATTGTATGGTTTTGTGTGTGTGTGTGTGTGTAATCCTTTGAAGGGCAAATAGGTAAACTGTTGACAGGCGATAATCAGACAAGCAAAAAAGAAGCATGACATAAATATGGGGGAGGGAGTGACTACAGCTGAGCCGATTGCGAGAAATGCTAAATATAACACAA